CCAGATGGTTCTCACACAATTTGGAGTGAGAACTAAGGCTTTTAGATCAAATAATGCCAGAGAGTACTTTGAGAAGGACCTAACCACGTATCTCTTAGAACATGGTGTAGTTCATCAGAGCAGTTGTGCATATACACCGCAACAGGATGGAGTTGCTAAGAGGAAAAACAAACACATTGTGGAGGTGGCAAGGAGTCTTATGGTGTGTGCTTCAGTTCCTGTGCAGTTCTGGGGAGATGCAGCTCTTACAGCCGTACATGTGATTAACCGTGTTCCTTCACGGACTTTGGGGTTTAAGGTGCCATTTAGCCTTCTTTTTCTACATGGAGAGATATTTCATATACCTCTGAGGGTTTTTGGTTGTGTTTCTTTTGTTCACATTCTTGGCCCTCATCRCAARAADTTKRATYYYAAGGCCAAGAAATGTGTTTTTCTTGGGTATGCTCAGAACCAAAAGGGGTATTGTTATTATGACCCAGTGTCAAGGAGCAGATTTGTCACTATGGATGTTACCTTTTTTTAATCCACATTCTTCTTCTCGAGTGGTTCTCCTCAGGGGGAGAGTTTTGGGGAGAACTCACAATCTGTTCCTCTTCCTATTTCTGTAGAACCTCATCAGTTCAGCCAACATCTACATCAGTTCAACCACCACCTGCACCATCAGTTCAGCTAGCACCTGCACCTCCAGTTTCATTACCTGAGCCACTACGGGCAGCCTCACAGCAATATCAACGCCGACAAATGATGGTTGACTCCACACATCCTCAACCCACACCACTCTCTGTCAGTCCTTCTGAAACTCCAGATTCGGTAGATACAGTTCCAGGTATTCCTCTTGAGCATGAGCCTGTTATGCTTTCTGATGATAATGTTTTTGTGCCTAACACCATTGTTGCAGCTGATCCCACTGACCTTGATCTTCCCATTGCACTTCGTAAGGGGAAGAGAAAGTGTACAACCCACTGCATTTCACACCATCTTTCCTACAGTGCCTTATCACCCGCCTACTGTGCTTTTCTTTCTTCCCTGGATTCTGTGTCTATACCCAGGAATGTTACTAAGGCTCTCTCCAAACCTAAGTGGAAAACAACCA